GTGGCAATACAGTGGTGTACAAGATAGAGACCAACAGCCCTTGGTCGAAATGCCCCTCCTTCCACTTAGCTGTGGGCCTGGGCAAGTTACACGAATGCTCTGAGACTCTGCTTCCTCTTTCTTAAGAGTATTCACTTTGGAGTTGCAATCAGGGTTGAGGAATAGTATGCAGTTAAGGCATTTAGCACAGTTCTTGGTACATATTAAGTGTGGGGTGGGCACATTTGCATTCAAGAAGTTCCAAATGCAAAATAATACAAAAAAGTAACTGGAAGAAATCCTTCCTGTCCAATATTTCTTCCTTGTCCTAAATTGTCCTCTCTCTTCTCCTTTTTTCTTTTCCTGGGCCTGGAACAATTATCTCCATTTCCTAAGGTTTCCGTCTGGGCTCTAAGGTTCACCCTCTCAGAAGTATTAGGAGGCAGTGGCCCATCCTTTTCTTTTTTTTGGCTCCCCTCTGTGGAAGCAGAGGCTCTCCTGATTTGCAAAAGGAACACTGCACATGTAGCCCAGCCTGTACACACTTGTGTGTCCTTTCCATGGTGAATGCATGCCCAGGGCAGGGCTTACCTAGATGCTCTATGACTGGGTGGATGGAATTGGCACTGCAAGCCCCAGATCAAATTCCTTTTATAGCAGATCTCCTTCTGTAAGCTACTATCTTAAAACAATAACCATTTTATTATGGTGTATGATTTGGAAGGCCAGAAATTCAGGAGGGACTTGGCAAGGTGATTCTTCTCTTCCACATGGCATTGATGGAGGCTTCTTGGTGGGAAGCAACTGGCAGAAGCACTTGTCTTGGGGGTCCAAGACAGTATCATGCACAGGTCTGATGCCTTGGCAGGGTCGTCTTAGCAGGAAGCGAGGGCCAGAGTGCTTACACGTGACCACTCCAGCATGGTGGTCCGAACACGGTGGCCTTGGATTTCTTATGTGGTGATTCAGAGCTCCACCAAGAGTTCCAGAGAGGAAGGCAGAATCCCCAAGGCCTTTTATGACTCAGAGTTGGAAGTCTCACAGTGTAAATTCCATCACAATCTATAGGTCAAAACAGAGTTATAAACCTATCCAGATCCCAGGGGAGGGCAGTAGAAGACACTCTAGACAGGGGGGAAATCAAAGAATTTGTGGCCACGTTTTAAAACTGCCACAGTCATCATCTTCTTTAAATCGCCTATGTGTGGGCAGGGGCTAAGACTCTGAGCATTACTTTTCAAGAGGGTAGTAAGCCTGGACACTTAACATGTAATTACTGAATAATTTAAAGGCAGTCACATACTTTGGTGGCAGCCAAGATAGCATCTATTTCACTACATTGTAGAGAAAAAGATTAAGTATTTTGAGCTACTTATCATGAAATATATTTTTTAATAGCCACCCTATCTTAAATGCCTCTACAAGAGGCAAGGGATGTGCCTGGGAGGGCTTTTTGTAACATTTTTCTTTCAAGGCCAAAGTACAAATTTCAGCAACTCCCATAACATCTTGTACTTCTTTGTCATAGTTCTCCTCACCCTGTAATGATAAATTCAGTGTCTAACTTTCCCCATAAAATGCCCCACTCTGTGATGGAGAACACGCTTGTTATTTTCTGCATGGTGCATAGTGTCTAGAATACACCAGATATGCGATAAATACATTTCATTGTCTGAGCCTTAGGGGAAGATGGCAGCAAGAAGAAGAAGCACATAGCAATAAGTTTACCATTTGCTCCTTTTTTCTAGTTAGAATGATGGCTATAAGGCCTATATATTTAGAATTTGAGGTGTCACATTTAAAACCTTAATAATTGCCCTGCAGCTTTCATTCGATCACTCAGATTGTCGAAAGACACAAGATGACATCCACACACCCAACATGTACTAACAGCTTTGTTTATTATTTAGTTGATTATTTCATTCTGTATAATCGTACAATAATTCTTTTTTAAATAATACTGTTATACCTGAAGATGGTCACATTATATTCTTTCTTCCTTCTATGTAGGAAAGTGGGTTTTTCTTTTTGCACACTCAGTTTTTTAACAGAACATTTGACTATCAAGAAGTGTAGTTAACCAAAAATAATGAACGGACCAAACTCCATGGAAAATATCACGGTGCTTCATGTATATTCAACAGGAACCCCCACCCACCCACCCAGAGGTCTCAAGGGGACACCGGACCTGGGAGAGTGTCAGTGACTGTAAGTGACTCCCTTAAGACCTGTTTGGCAGCTTAGAAACTTAAGGTTTAATAAAGACCCGGTACCATTCCTACTAGCCAGGGTGGGTTCCTCCAGGCCAGCTTTGGGAAATGTCAGTAGAGTGTGATCGGTAGCATCCTCCTGGGGGAGAAAATCCTCCTGTTAATTGTGTAACCACCCTAAGACTATCCCCTGCTCCATTCACACTGGCATTTTTAACTTGACTGCAAGTGGGCCCAGTGATAGGAGCTGTGTGTACACTGTGTGTGTTCCATGTGTGTGCATACATATACATACCCAGTGAGGAGAAGCCAAGAGGGGACTGGAGGAGGAAGAGAATCATAGGGAAGGAAGGGACAGAAGAGGATGGGCGCAGAAAGAGAGAGAAAAGAGTGGAAATACAAAAATGAAAAGCAAGTGGAAGAACTTGGGAAAGTGGAGAAAAAAGATAGGAGGGGCGAGGTGCGTAGAATGCCTAAAAAGGAGAAACGGAAGTGGGGGACCCTGACGTCCCTCTTGGCCTACCTGCTCCCGCCTCGCCCCTGCTGGGGGCAGGAAGGCATTGGCAGCCTCGCCCTCTTCCCACCCAAACTCAAGACACCTTGCTCTGCACAGACTTGAGTAAAAAGATGGCGGAGCAGAGCAGTGAGAAGGTGCTAGATGCCCCGCCCAGCCAACCCACAGCAACTTGCTCTCTGGCAGTGGTGAAAAACTTGCCCGTGAGGCACTTTGACTGAGGCCCCTGCATTGACCACGGGCAGACAGCTGTGTTCTGTCAACCTTTGCTCTGGAAGCAGGGGGATCTTTGAGGCAGGTGCACAAGAGAGGATGGAATAAATCAAATCCTCCCCTCTCCCTCTGGAAGGAAGTGGAGAGGAGAGTGACACTGCCCTGTGTTTTCAGCCTGATGCCAGGCTGTCCTCCCAGTCACCCAGGATGGGGGAGGGCCGTGTGCTGCGGTGGGGGGGTCCCCAAAGGGTGTCTTAGCTCTGAAGGCTAAGGGTGAACCTGGCCACTGCCTCCTTCCCCTGAACAAGGGCACATGAACACCCCATGTGCCTGGGGAAGGGCAGGCTGTCTGGAGCTCAGACAATGGCCTGCTGCCAACAATACTGAAAACAGAACTGAGGGGCACAGGTTGGTTAAAAGCCTATGCTCTGGAGTCCAAAGTCTGAACTCACATTGGAACTGAGGCCTACAGTGCACGGGGGACGTGGGGAAAGTTGCATAACCTCCCTTTGCCTCAGTTTCCTCAATACCAAAATGAAGGCAAGAATAGTATTTCCTCAAGGGGTTGTTGTTAGGATGCAGTGACACCTAGCATGCTCATAGCGGTGTCTAGCATATAGCAAGTACTTCATAAATGTCACCTGTCCTTGTCACTATTTAGAAAATATCAGCAGGGCTCAGTGACTACCATAGTAGACCCTGCACCTCCCTCCCTACCTTTCTCACGTGTTTGCAGATGCTGCGCCCTGGTCAAAGGCATGTCGACTAAAAGTGTGTGTGTGTTCAGCCTCTGAAGCACATGGGACAGCTAAGGTCACTGCTGCCAACATGGCTCTGCCTGGCTCTTTCTGAAAGGCTGGGCTTCCTGCTAGCCAGGTCACCCACACCAATGCTTGGCCAGAGGGCTAGAAACAACACCTGAGCCTTTACCTGTGGTCAGTGGTGACTGTCTACACAGAACCTCTGCAACTCCCAGCAACTAGCTGGGTATGACCATGGTGCAATCCTCCCACTGATGGCCATCAGAGAAATGATTAGCAAAACTAGTGACACGCAAATTTAGCAAGAGGGGAAATTGTGATCAGTAATAGCTTTAGTTCACTGTAACAATGACATGGAAGTATTGATCCCTCATGGACCAGATCAGACATCAGCCAAGACTTACGGGTCCTGGGTAAGAGGCACAGGGCCAAAGGGAAGCCAGTTGCTTGGGTAGATATCGGTGGACTGGCAGAGTTTATCCAATGGAGGCACAGGAGTTTTTTAAACCAATAAACCTCATTTACAGTTTCCCAGGTAGACTTCTGTAAAGGTGCATTAGACAGGTGGCATCTTATTGCCTCTCACAGATCATGGTGTTCAGAGGAGAGGGAAGAGGTCTGCCAGAGAAAAGATTTCATTCCAGTTTAGTTTAAAATGGGTGGCGGGAGGATAAAAACATAGGGGGCCCATGGGACCTGTAAGGGAAGCTGGGTTCACCTTTGAGAAGTGGAGATAGAAATAGGAAGTCCTAGGAGAAAGGCCATGAGGCACGGACAGGGGACCACCTCCCAGGTTCCATATTGTTTTTCTCAGTGAACAAAGCTTAGGCTCCTAGACTGAGGTGCTTCCTAAGGAATGCCTGAGAGCGGGCCCTGAGCAGGTCAGCAACCTTCTGGCCTCACCTCTGTCCTCACCTCTGTCCTCAGTTGCAACAAACTTAGACACTCAGTGACAGCAGAATGCCTCAACTCGGCAGACCTTTCATGGGAAGCATGACAGAGTTCTGGATTATTTTGGTGAACTTCTGGGGGGGGGGTAAAAAAATGAATGAAACAAATCAACAGCAAAACAAGCCCCAAAGTAATCTAAAAAAGCCCATGGCACTGCACGAAGCCGCTGGCTGGCAGGGTCACGGGTCATGCAGACGAAGAACATCAGGCTGAGGGATGCAGGGAATGAGGGTCACTTTCTCCCTGGCATAGACATTGCCATGGAAGTTTTAATGTTCCATTAAAAAATACTAAAAATCCACAAAACAACCCAGATGTCCCCTTCCTCTCTCTCCTGCTTCATTTTGGCAGCAGCAATCCAGCCTTGTGGTGCTACATGTCCTTACTGTCCCCATAGTCGTTGTAGGGGACACTCAGGGTCTGCTCCTCACATGTCTTCCTGAGGTCCCGGCTGAGCTCGGCCCAGTCCAGTCCGTAGGGCTTGATCTCACTGTAGCGGCAGCCCAGGTACTTGAGCGAGTTTCGTCGCAAGCTTATCTTGGGTTCCTGAAGGAGTCCATTGCACCAACTGCTGAGGTCCCCAAGCTGGGAAAGGATGAGGCCTGCCTTCCTGTGGATCAAACACACAGGACACTTACGTTAGAAGGAGAGGGCCAGGAAGGGCAGAAAGTCACGAGTAGTGTGAAATTGTAAACTTGAAGAGGGCAGAGCATGACCACTGTTCCATCTTTGACACTTAGAAGCAGGTACACCGTAAATACTTATTAAGGGAATGAATGAACTAACAGGAAGAATGTGCAAAGTGGGCGGGTACCAAGAAGAAAGTGAGAGACAAAAACTCAGTAAGGAAGGGCAGGAGGTGGTGGCTCACGCCTGTAATCCTAGCACCCTAGCCCAGGCGTGTGGAACAGCTCGAGCAAGAGCAAGACACGTCTCTAAAAATAGCCAGGCATTGTGGTGGGCACCTGTAGTCCCAGCTACTCAGGCATCTGAGGCAACAGGATCTCTTGAGCCCAGGAGTTTGAGGTTGCTGTGAGCTATGATGCCATGGTACTCTACCCAGGGCAACAGAGTGAGACTCTGTTTTAAAAAAAGAAAAAGAAAAATGCTGTAAGGAAAAATAAAGAAGAAAAAACAAACATTATTTTAGTGGCAAAATGTATCCTCTTAAAATAAACAATATTTTAGTGGCAATATGTATCCTGCCTGATAAAACTGGCAGTCTTGAAAGACAAATCAAATCAATTTTCTTTAAAACCAGTCCTTTCTCATCACTAAACAACCAGCAATATGCTTAACTAAATATTTTCTTTCCCTCTCCTCGCCCCTCCTTTCCCCTCCCCTCTCCTCCCTCTCTCCCTCCCTTCCTTCCTTTCTCTTATTGTGAGACATAGTCTTTCTGCCACCACAATTAAAGACAGCTCACTGCAATTTCCAGCTCCCAGGTGCAAGCCATCCTCCTGCCTCAGCTTCCCAGTAGCTGGGACTATAGGTGTGCACCTCTATACCTGGCTAATTTTTAAATTTTTTGTAGAGACAGAGTCTTGCTGTGTTTCCCAGGCTAATCTTGAACTCCTGGGCTCAAAGATTCTCTCTCACCTCAGCCTCCTAAACTGGAGCAATTACAGGCATAATAATACTAATATTTCCCTTTTCAACATACTTCTGAACTGGTGAAGGGGCCAATATATTGAACTCAAAGGGATATCAAATACAACAAATTATGCCTGTATTGAGGTAGTTATAGTGCAAAAGGGTGCAAAAGACAAAGATGTCTTTAGTTCCCATTGACACAGATTCATTCCTTGGGAAAATGTAGTCTCGGGGTTGCACCCATCACCTCATTAGCCTCTAGGTGGGCTCAGGCTCCATCCACCCCCCTTGGAAAGCCATGAGGCCGTTGCCAATAAACCTCAATCAAAGAAGTGGGAAAAGGAGGTAAGGAGGGCACCTGAGCCATTGCAGGTTCCTGAGAGACAGACAGAGAGGACAGCAAGTGAATTCCAAGTTCACTACTCTGGAAAGGAGTGATCGCGCCAGGCTAAGGCCACAGAGCGTGAGAACCTGTTGCCTCGAGCCGGGAGAGGTGGGCTGGCACCAGCCCCTGCTGGTGCAGCTCCTGCATCTTGGTGTCCACTTCTGGTGTCCTAGACAGAGGCTTCCTGAAAGCCAGTTCTCAGACCTCACTGGCTTAGACTCTGAACATAGGATGAGCAAAGGAGCAGGGTTCCCTGGCTCGGTTATTTCATCCTTACTCGTCAAATACCTAAGCAACTGAGACCCATGAAGGCAGCCTCTCTCATTTGAACAAGCTTGTGTGAGGCTGCAAGATGATGGACTGGAAGGTCAAAGAAAATCACTCCCTGCAGGAGCTAGTGACTGCTAGTCCAAGTTTTCATGTGACAAATCATATAGTTTCTAGTTTAATCAACAATTGCTTCCAGAAACTGGAAGTTTATGTACCCCATGTAAAGAGAGCTTTCAAAGAATAATAGCCACATTCATTTCATCCCTCTCCTTCTGTAGCAGCAGCAAGCATCACCAAGGGGTGACCCTCCTGTGGTCCCTGGGGGACGAGCTGAGAGAAGGGCAGAGATGCTTTTGGTGGAAGGTCTGAGTTTCAGAAGCAGAGTCAAGGACTTAGGGTGGAGTGAAGTCATCAGAGGGACAGTCATATTTTCTTTTTTTATTGTTGGAGATTCATTGAGGGTATAAGAAACCAGGTTACACTGATTGTATTGGAGGGACAGTTATATTTTCTCCAACGTCAATGGTGGGTCAGAGGGAATCAAACAAACACTTTGCCTACTGACTAAACAGTGCATTGAGCAGATGATCTGTACTTTCCCTGTCAGCTTCTGCAGTTTGGCCAAGCGGTGTTTCCAAAATTCGTCATCAAAAAGAATTTTGGTCGCCCTTCCTCCCAGTCTACCCTACTGTGTACCATTAGCTGCTGACAAATTCTTGAGAGGTGAAGGCAGAGTGAGGGCAGCACAGGCACCACCTTCCAGAAGAGGATGAAGAGAGAGGATTCGCCCATAGAGTTTTTGTTGCTATTCTAAGTGAACTTTAAAATAATAATCATGGCTCGGCACCTATGGCTCAAGTGGCTAAGGTGCCAGCCATGTACACCTAAGGTGGCGGGTTCGAATCCAGCCGGGGCCTGCCAAACAACAATGATGGCTGCAACCAAAAAAATAGCTGGGCATTGTGGCGGGCACCTGTGGTCCCAGCTACTTGGGAGGTGGAGGCAGGAGACTCGCTTGAGCCCAGGAGATGGAGGTTGCTGTGAGCTGAGATGCCACGGCACTCTACCCAGGGGGACAACTTGAGGCTCTGTCTAAAATAAAAAATAATAATAATCATAATAAATTTGGAATTGCCCTTGACCATTTCAGAGCCTGTGGTCTTCTTTCTTAGAAGCAGTGTAATCAATGTTCTTCTCAAAATATTTTCAACCCTCAACTGAATCCAAAGGCATCCATAAGTCTTAATGGAATAGGATTTAAAGCTGAACTGAGGAGGATCCTTTCTGCTCACTCTCAGGAAGTCTGGAGCCGCAGACTCTTCTCTGCCCTTTTCACCACTAACCCCAAAGTGGGCTAATGTATTTCAAGGCAGAGTCCTTTTCCTCTCCTGCTGTTCTCCCTGAGATTCATGACACTCAAAAGCAAACTTACTTTCCACAGGCTAATGAAACTACACAATGTTTTCTAATATGGGTACAGAACCACAAAAGAGCAGTATTGCACATGAAGAGCCCCAAGGGAGGGGAGTTTGGGGAGCAGGGTATACACTCAGTGGTGGTCTTACTTTACAACAAGACCCACATTTCCTCCCCAGCTCACTTATTTCATCAACCAATTTTTCTTCTGACTCTTGAGTCCTAATAGAGAAATTTTAAAAGCAAATGCCCTTTGAAATTGAGATGATATATGCAATGTTAGTGCTGTTCAAATTATGGCATTGATGTTCCCTGGCAAAGAACTGTACATATATAGTCAGGGAATGTCAGAAGATAGAGAGGAGGGAAGAAAGAGGCAGGCTAGGCAGAGAGGATGGACGGAGCTGGGCTGTGGTCAGGTGAGAGGAGTGACCGGGTCAGGAGGCGAGACAGGGTGTGGAGTGAAGAGCACATTTCCTATCATGCATCTGCTTTCTAACCCAGGGGTGGATTCTCGGCAAAGCTGAGACAAAACAAATTAAATGCCCCTTACATAATTTCCCTCTGTTCCGTAACAGTAATGTCTGTCTGTTCAAGAACTATCACTTGTTCTAAAGATCAGGACACAATTTATGGAATGTAGAAAGATGCTGCCAAGCTTCCACATGACATCATTTCAGTTCAGAAGATAACCCTGTTTTTCTTCATCCTTCAAAAGTGAGAAAACAGAGGGAAAATGTCCTGAACGTCAGTTTTCTGGGAAACTTTGTAACTGCAGGTCACAATAAGCTGACTGAGGTTGAGTGTCCCTTCAGTCTAGTCAGTGGTCGGATGGATGGCATGACTTTTGGGTGATACTTGCATTCTGCCATGTTAGCTGGAGGGCAGAATTCCTTACATGCCAGAGGATTCTACAGTGTTTATTTTCATCATTTCCTTCTTTCCACCGTCTGGGCACTTTGGCCAAGCAGTTTCTTCCAAAAGAGGTGGCTCCAGCCTTCTTTCTCTCTTTCCTTCATTTTCTTTTTTCTTTCTTTTTAACTATTCTTATATCCTTTACTCTATTTTCATCTTTTTAAAATGAGCTCTTAAATAATTTGGGAACATATAGGTACCAACATTCCAGGTGAAAATCATCTTTATCACATGTACCTAAAAATTTCAGTATTTCCAGGGAAGTCTGTTTTTTAACGTGCCAATGTGCAATTACAATGAGTGGAGCAAAAGGCAGGTGGTATCTCTACAAATCCTTCTCAGGCCTTACTTTCCAAGAACTCTATCTGGTCTGTGCAGCCTAGAAGCAGTAGGCATTGAATATTAGGAAATTACAGCCCCAGGGCCAGGGGACCTTGCCACCCTAACTTGGGCCAAGACAGATGTCAAGGTGGGTCTTTGGGTACTCTTATGTTGTCTTTCAAGAGAACATAGACTTTACTCAGAATGAATCTTTATGATGAAAATAACATATGCAAAGTTCAAATGCAGTAAATAATTTTGAATAACTTCTTTAACAAAATTCCTACTTTTCTTTCCCATCACTAAGGCTTTGATTCCTGTAGTTTCAGCATTTGGAACGCCATGTCAATAAAGAGGAAAAGAATATTCAATACAGAAACAAAACGTGGCATATGTATGCACATACTATGGAGTATTACTCACCCATAAAACATGAAGAATTAATATCCTGTGTAATAGCTTGAGTGAAACAGGAGACCATTCTTCTAAGTGAAGTTTCACAAGAATAGGGGGGAATAATACCAGAACTAATTGATCAACACTCATATGCACATTTGGTAGAAAAACTCAATGGAAAGCAAACAGGTGGGGGAGGCTGGAGGGGAGGGGGAACCACACCTAATGGGTACGATGCACACCACCCTGGTGATGGGCACACTTACCAAAAAAAAGAAAAGAAAAGAAGGGAGAAAGGGGAAGAAAGGAAGGAAGGAAAGAGAGAGAGAGAAAGGAAGGAAGAAAAGAAGGAAGGAAGGAAGGAGAGAGAGAGAGGCCCAACAAAGAAAAAATAAAGTAAAGAAAAGAGTGTGGAACACATCAAAGTCAAGGGCAAACCTTCTTCAGAGTTCAGGAAATGCACTCACAACTTTACTCCTTAGGCAGAGCTCATCCAGAACTAACCTGCCAGGCCTGTTCTGTCCGAGAGCAGGAGATTTACTCTCTGAGCACCTAAGCTCACTCTGGAAGTCTCCGCAGCCTCATGGATGCAGGACTAGAGTAAGAGGTATGAACTGTCTTGAGTTTTTAAAGGAGATAATGCAGTTTATGGGTTACCTGGGGCCTAATTCATCCTCACACCGCCAGGTGAATTCTCCAAAACTCTCATAATGCTGGTTGTAGTGGTAGAGGACTCGATGTAAGGTGGGGGAACCCAGATCCAGAAGGGTGTTGTAGGCCGTCTGCTGCTCCTTCCCACTGGTATAGCCATTGAAGAGATTGTAGATCTTGTCTGCTATTTCTGAGGAAGGAAGAAAAAGCAAATACCATTATTATACATATGTGTGTGTATACATACATATATGTATTATGTGTACATGCGTGTGTGCATGTGTATGCACGTGTATAGACACATACACATGTATACTTGTGTATGTATCATGTTACTTGAAGAATATTATGTGTATTCAATATATTACGTATATTGAACCTAGTGATTTGAGTAATTCACTTTACATCTGCTGCACTGGGCTTCAGTTTTCTCTTCTACAAAATGAAAGCCTTTGACTAGAATACTTCCAAGGTCAATTTCAATTATAATATTCCCTGTATTTACTCAGGTTACCTAAAACTATATACCCTGAAGCAAAAGCTAATGTAGTAATAGTCCCTTGGCAAGTGCAATCCAGGGAAGCAGGAGTGAGGATAAAGGGGCATGAAGCAAGACAGGAGGGAGAGCCAGTACTCAGGGGTGCATGGGGAGCTGGCCACACCTTCCTGACAGGCTGCTTGATGCATTGAGCAGAAGAGGACGTATGAAGATCCTGGACCTCCACTGGTCCATCCATAGGCAGGAAGAAAGATCTCATCTCTGGCTCCCATTAGTGATTAGTACAAGGTTGCTCCCACGAGGCATTATGAACCCCATACCCCTAGATCGCATGTACTTGACTACCATGTGGTTCTGCAGAATCAACAGGGCAGCCTGAGGCAGCAGAGGCAGGCACTCAGCTCAGGGATGACATCAGGTACTGTCACCTGATTGTAGCGCTGGCCAGTCACATGGGAACCCAGGGAAGCCATGATTGTAGGAACACAGAACTCTTGCTACAACTGCCTAGATCAGATACAAAGGCAAGCACGGAGACCTGCAGAGAACAGCAACTGAACCTGGTAACCTCTGTAGTTCCAAATGGATCATCTTTCAGCTTAATTTATGCCACTGATATTTTTCCATCAAAAGCATGCATTGCAAAGACAGAACTTGGTAATATAGTAAAGTGGCAATGTTTTTGAATAGCCTTGGCATTTTCTGTTATGAAGCTAAGGACTTCATCATTAAAAGTTTTCTCTCTCAACCTGCTGGACAGAGGAGATGTGTTTGGATATCTCATTAACCAGCTGGGAGACTAAGAGCTAGAGGACGATGTTTGGGGCCCAATATTAATTCTGGGGATGAAGAAACTAAGTCGGCAGGCTCCCAAACCAGAACTCTGCCCACCAGACCCTCTGTTACCTTGAAGGCATTTCAACTTGACTCCCTATCACCATTCAAAGAGAACTCTGGGCTGCTTGTAATGACAAAGTCATCATTGTAGGAGTTTCTTGGGTTGGAATGAATCAAATTTCTGACCCTATCCTCTCTAGACATTGCAATTATTTCCTTACTTTCCTATATTGTCTGTGGTTTGTGAGCATAAGAGATAGACCTTACTTTGTGAACAGTACAGCCAGACAATATAGTAGATTAGAAATAGCAACAACCACCAAAAAACCACCTTAGCTGGATGAAGGGAACTCATACCTCTGGGAGTAGTATGAATCTACTGTGGGGAGGGTTTCTCAGTGATACAGGTTATACCAATCCTTGGTAATAAAACACATGTATCTGCATTAAACATAATTTTGGTTCAGAAATTCATTAAGATTTTCAGATTCTTAAAATTTTCAGGTTCTTTAAATAGAATTAAGAAATAAAAAATTTGATAAGTAATGTTAATTCCAATACTTATTCCACCACTGCAAGATGAATGTGAATATCCCTGTATTACAAATGAGGAAATTCAGAGAGAAGCCAGGGTCACATAACCAATGTGGGCTGGAGTCAAGGTTTGAAAGTAGCTCCACACACCATTGCTATTTTGTCCTGATGCTCAGGAACTGGTGCTGCACAACAAATTCAAGGTATCAGAGAAAGAATGGCGGGATGGCAAATCTGGGGTGGGGATTTGCATGAGAGGGCATTGTCCTGGTTAAACCGTGGCTGCTAAGTAAGAGGCAGTCCTGGTAGATGTGTAAGGAGTCACGTCCAGAGGTGAGATAACAGAAGCCAAGGGACTATTCACAGAGCTGTGTTGTGTTTGATGGGAGGTGGAGAGGGTTTGCTAAGAGAGGAATGATCAGGAATATGTCGGTGAGCAGACTCAAGCTGAGATATGGAGGTTTGGGCTTCCTCTCCCAACCCGTCGCTAATGCCAATCTGATCTTACTTTAATAGGATATCGTGGCCCACGCCCTACACCCTGGTTGTGACTGTCCTTGATGAGTGACAGGGATGGCTGGGAAGGTGTTTTCTGGCCTATTTGCCATGTTCATAGCACAGCAGGCAAAACCAGCTAGAGAAGGGAGATGTGTCCCATCACCTGCAGCATTTAGAAAAAGACCTCTTTTCACCACCAACCTCCCTCAACCAAGATAATCTAACTTCTGGGTGTGTGAAAGAGCAGACGTCAGTAAATGTGATGCTCCCTTCAGGGAGCTCGAGGCCCCCGGCTCCTAGAGCAGGACTATTTCTGGCTTCTTCTTTCTCCACTGAAAGAATTGGGAGATTTTATTTTATTAACCTCACAGGGCTCAAGAATTCACTAACTCAAGTGATAATAATATGGGTATTTTTTGTTATAATTTTATGTAGCTTCAGTTTCACAGAAGTCTTGAGTCATTTAAGACAGACACCTTCTCCTTTTTGATATGCATAAGGTTCAGGAATAGGCAAAACACAAGTGAAAAGATAACAAGAAGTCTTTCTGCATAGCGTCATCACAAAAAAGGAAACTCCTTTATTAGAAAGGAACTGAGATCTCTTGGGATAAATAAACAGGGCTGGGACTGAGGGTCTCAGACACAGAGATATGGTTAAGAACAGGCCCCATGGCATCAGACAGAGTTGGATTCCATTATACCAGCTGTGTGGCTTTGGACAAGCTATTTAACATCTCTGGGTGTTAGTTTCCCCTTCTATTCAGTGACAGTTAATAACATACATCCTTGAAGATTATTGTAAGAATCAAAGTGATATTAAGTATAAAATCTTTCTTTCATACAATGTCTAGACATAGTGAGATTGCACTAATTCATTCATTCATTCCATAAAATCTTTTTCAAGTGCTATTATGTGCCTGATATTTTTCTAGGCACTCAGGCTACATCACTGAGAGACTCTAACAAAAATCCTCACCCTTATCACACTTAGAATAGTGGTGGGAGACAGTCCGGTCAGCTATGAACATAATAAATAATGAATAAAATTCAATGTGTGAGAAAGTGGGGAGAATAAAACAGGAGAGGGAAGCTTGGGAGAACTTAGTGGGGGTATAGTGATTTCAAACAGTCCTGATAGGTGTCATTGGGAAGTGGGGGCAGGAGCTAAGCTGCAGACACGTGGGGAAGAGCAGGCAGGGAGAGGAAGGGCGGGCACAGAGACCTCGGACAGCACATAGGACAGGGTGTCTGCAATGAGGAAGGCATGGTGGAGACTAGGTCAGTAGTAGATATTATTATTTTATTATTACCGGTTCTTTCTTAAAGCATGCTTTCCCCACTGCTGAGAGAGAAAGAGACAGAGAGACAGCCTAAGAGAGACTAAGAGAGAGATTGAAACATCCCGATCCAAGGGATGGGGGAATATAGTTTGATTAAATGGGAGGGGTGACTCCAGGGGCAAAAGTGACCTCCAAACACCAAAAACCAGTCATCATCCTTAGATTTAATCATCATTAAATCTTTAGATTTGAACTCAGACCCAGGTTTCCAAAGGTAACACTGTAAACCTTAACATCACGTATCGCGAACACGGCCTCCTTCCCACCTCTGTGTTCCCTACTGCTATTAAATCTGTTCTCCAGTGACAGATGTGCCAGCCTGTTGGCTCTCCAATGGCCCTAGGCATTAGCCCTGAATTGTCTTCCTTTCCTACCTGACCTGACCCACGTGGCCCTCGCAAGTCTCCTTTTTGACTCTGCTCTGCCCACCCAGGCCACAGGGACCTTGCAGCAAGCTGGCTCATGTTCTCCGGGGCATTCTGTACATCCCTCCACAAGTGCTGTCCACAATCTGCGCCAAGATGGTCATGACTCTTCTTCTTCTCATGCTTCACACCCAAGCCACTGGCAAATCCTTTTGGTGCTACTGTCAAAGTAATTTAGAACTGGGCTACTTCTCACCACCTCTGCCACCACCATGCTGGCGTGAAAAATCACCTCTCCTCTGAATTGCCCTAGCCTTCTACCTGGTCCCTCCTTAACCTTAGACACCCTGTTTAGCACCTGCTCCCAACACAGCAGGCAGAACAGTCTGTAGAACATTATGTCCCTCTGTGTCACTCCCCTGCTCACAGTCCTCCGGGGCTTCCCCTGCCAATCCCCAGTGAGCCCATTGCCCTGATGACCAGGCCCATGGGATCATCCCCACAGAGCTCCTCTACTCTTTGCCCCGACCCTCCCTCCTCTGTCCTCTTTAAACTTCCCAAGAATCTCTGTGCTGCTGCTCCTCGAGCTGGAATGACCTCCCCAGATATGTGTGTGGCTTCTTCCTTCATCTTCATCCCAAACTGCTCTGGTTAAAATGCCACCCTCTGCACCTCCCATCCCCCATCCCTGATTATTTATCTCCATAACATATATCACCATCCGCAATATTAAATATTTTACTATTTTTGTTGGTGGTGTCTGTTGCCCCTGCTAATTTACTAAGTTCCTTGAAGCAGAGGGTTTTACCCTGATGCTTAGGTAGGTATGCAGTAATATGTGTTAGATGAATTAATTAACTCCTGAAGTCTGATAATAAGATGCTTGAAAACAGATCTGTAGCCTAGTCGGTTTTGTTTCTTTCCCTTTTAATAGCAGGGCTCGAAAACAGACTATGGAAGAAGCAAACAAAAGAATGAATAAATATTTATGCCTGGAATGGGGGGGGGATGGATACTGGGGAAGGGTTGATGGGAACCAGCCTTCCTTTAAGGAAGAAGCTTCAGCAAGCCCTGCCCCAACCTACATTCCAGCCAACAGCATTCATCTTTGCCCTGACATGAACTTGCACCTGCTGGGAGAAGGCTGATTTCAGCACAACACTGGTAGGAACTTATTTTTCACAGTAGTTTTAGCATCAAAATGTGGTAAAATTCTTTATTGAAACTATTGAGTTTTGGAAAAATTTTCCTATAAGGGTCTGGCTTCTAGGTAGATAATTAGGAGCTGAAGTCATATTTGGGGTCACTTAAAAGGTAATTCCCATTTGTTATTAGATTTACACGCAGACCCGAGCACATCATGACTATATTTATGATCACCATCTGGGGCTTGGGAAAGGCAAAGCATATGGTATTTTAGCAGAATTGCTAGAACAGTATTAATTTGCAAGGATGCCCCCAATTAGTCTAACTCATTAATTTCCGGATTTACCCTGTGCAGGATGCCTTCCTGGCCGAAAGGTAGCAGGCCCTGGAGTGTTATTTCATTCTCTCTGCACTCATTTGGCGCTGGTGCTCCCAGCTGGTCTGCAGGGATTTCAGACACTCTCCGGAGTCGGGAAGCACAGGAGACAGAGCATGTCTGGTGTCTCTGCCTGGGGCCGCAGCTGCCCCGAAGGAGCCTGACAGGGAACCAGGGCTGGAAAAATTCCCCACCTTGGCTATGCTTGTTTCTAGAGCTTTCTACTCACCCATCCCTGCAGGTAGCATCACACTGTCCCCCTTCCACCTGCTAATCACCTCCCTGAAGTCCTGCCACTCACTGCCTACTCAGCAAGCAATTCTAAGGCGGCAGCTGCTGCCTGGCAAGGACACCAGTGAACTCTCCAACACAGAAACTGCGGCCTCGCCTTCTCATCACCTGCCCCGCAGAAGAAATCAGCAGATGAGGAAATAAGGGCAGCACGTGTCTTCTCCAATCAACCTCTCATCTGGGAGTTCTCAACCCCAGACTCTGCTTTTACCATCAAGAAATTGCAGAGAACTCCAAAAGTCATTCAGTCAGTCTGAGGGCTGTTTGTGTGACATGCTTGACGGCCTTGGTCACCTTCCTTACTCCACTCTGAATCTCAGTTTCTGCATCTGTAAAATGGTACAATGTGCTATTCTTTTAGTAAATACTTGGTGAGTTCTTAGTAGAGGGCAAGATCTATGCTTGGTTACTGACAATAAGGGTAGTTAGCATTTACTGAGTATTTACTGTGTGCCAGGTGCTGGGTTATTATTATTTATTTTTACTATTTTAAATTAATTAACTGATTTAATTCTCACTAGAACCTTATTAGCTGGAGTACCCCTCCATGTAACAGATGAGTAAACTGAGGCATGGGTGAAGTCACAGGCTCAAGATCAAGCAATTCAATGGTGGAGCAGGAATTTAAATGTGGGCTGTCGACTCCAGAGGCTGAGTTCTTCTATAGCCAGTCAGCCATCAGTGCTGCCTTCCAGTAGGGACAGAGTATGGCTATGAGGGATGGAGGCGCTGATCTCACCAAGCTGTCTAGGGAGGTAGACAGACAGAACATATTACAATAGCAAACGATGTTGGAAGGACAGAAGCGTGGTGCTGTGAGCATACCTAACCATGGCTCCTGCCCTCTTTTGCCTGAGGAAATGACACGGCATCTGAGACCTTCAGACCGAGAGCAGCTAATTAGCTGAAAAGGATCAAAGCATTCCAGGTGACAGTTCCAACATGTGCAAAGGCAAGGCAGGGAGGAAGGCAGGAGGCCAGAATGCAGAGACTGGCCAAGGGAGTTGGCAAGAATGTTCTAGAGAAGGGGGCAAGGACCGCTCCACTTAGGTCCTAATACGCCTATTAAATATTTTTGTCATGAGAGGAATAGTAATCCATTAAAGCGTTTTAAGAAAGGCCCTTGATGAATTCAGATGTCTGTGTTGAAAATAACCATGCTCTTCACATGCCAGGCAGAGTAAGTGTGAAAATCCTTTCAGATGTTGTACAGTGCTCCAAGATCAGGGGGTGGGATGAAAGTAGTTCAGTTCACTCTTCCCTGTGACTTGGCATCATCTTGGTGTCACCCTTAGACATGCTGAAATTATGACTCTCATGGCTATTCTGATAGAACAGGATTTAGCAGCTACAGATAAGGTGATCTGAGGGGTGTCAGCAAAGCAGATTGGCCACAGTGTTTCTCAGAGTGACACTTGCACAGCCTAAGCTTCCAGCATTGGTCAACATCTGTTAATCTGCAAATGTTATCGGTTCATTTCTATCAAGTTAGGGGTTGACTAGATCACTTTTATTAGGGCTGGAGCCCTGTAGAAGTAGTAATCATGATGCAAAAATTCTGGTTGTGGATGGGATATAAAAACCTTAGAAGAGAAGGCAGTGTCCCACCAGGGAGCGTCAGGAGAGAGAGAGGGGAGCCCACTGTGCAGTGTGTCCACTGAAGACAAACCCTTCCTGGTCAGCCAGGACACATCCTGTGGGGGGGGGGGGAGGCAGGGCTTGTATTAAAGATGGATGATTCTGTACTGAAGAACTGGCCCAGAATAACTCCAAAATATAGAATTAAAGATTCTGATGCATCTTTGCTAGGGAGGGGGTGATTTAGTAATTCATTCCAAACCTGCAGCTTTTCCATGTTTAAATCCTTTCAAATATACAAAAGCCAATAAAGAAAGTAGGTGACCCCACTGATATGCTGGGGGAAGAGGTCACAGGTGATTCACCATGCTCCTAAGCACCTGGTGTGTGGCCGCTGATGCTGAGGGGTTTCATCAGCATCTCCATCTCCTCCTGGCTCCTTGACTCATGGGACTCACGGACTACGTGGAATAAGGAGATGTGGGGAGGGTTTCTGCCTGAGGGCAGAAGCCCAGGAGGAGTGCCTCTGGCAAGGCAGTACGTAATTCATCCCCTTTCCTCTTGAACTCCAGCTTGCTCCATTTGACTCTCTCCATCCTTCTTTCCTCATGGCAAGGGAGGCCCCTGGGCACCTGTTTGCGGACTCTGCTAACCCCATTGTCTCTTACCTTGAGCTTTGACATCATCCACCACGGGACAAGGGGTCTTCACGATCACGTCACTTGGCCTGGAACGCCGTCCTGTGTTGTCCACTCCCCACAGGGTAAACCTGGCAGGGGCAGGAAGGGCATGGTTATCAGAGAGTCTGGCTGGGGACCAATGGTCTGTAGCTCTGGTGCTCTTGTCACCCTGAGGCAGAGTAAATGCCATCACCCCAGGCAGAAAGCACACCGTCTCTAGCTTCTCCCTGTTTCCTGGTGGGTTGTGGTTGTAACTTACTGTCTTGTCTGTGAGCTTTTATATAACAGAAAGCATCAGGGCACAGGACACTGGCTGTGCAGGTAGAGTCCCCAGACCAGCATTACCAGCATTACCTGGGACCTTGTGAGCAGTGAAAATTCTCAGCTCCCAACCCCAGACCTACTGAATTGGAGATTCCAGGAATGGGTACGAGAGCTCTGTGTTTTACCAACCCCTCCAGGCGATGCTGAAGCCAGGCGGCATTTGACAGCACTGAGCTGAGGGAAAGAGTGCATGTCTTTGGAAATAGATGGCTATGACTTGGGTTTGAAGCCATGTGGACTTATAGCTAACTTAAGCTATCGTTATAGCTACAGCTAATAACAGCTTTATTTTCTCTTATCTGTAAAACAGAGATGAGAGGACAGTAAGACTACTTGTGAGTCACTGTGGGGCTGAGATGAGATTGACAACGTATAAGGAAGACCTGCGCAGGATGGGATTCATGACACTGCACAAATCACATTAGTTCTTTTCTGTCTCATCCGTTCTGTCCTGCGCTCAGTCGCTACCTCTACACACAGGATGGAGGACAATTTCCCTCTTTAAAGTGAGATGCAAGACCGCCCTAGTGGAGGGTCTCTCCACTCTCCTATGGCTAGACATGGCTAGACACTTCATGCCTGGCACACAGCTCACTCTGTTCCACGGAGACATTACCCACTGTAGACCAAGAATCCATGGTCCCTGGAAATGTCACGATCCCCCAACAGTGTGATAAGACTGTAAGAGCCTTCCCAGGAAGAGGATGAAAACCGGGCTATCAGAGGCTGAATGTAAAATCCTCCCCTGGGTCATAGAGCTGGATGGAGAAGAAAAAGAGAAACTCCAGCTTCTGCTTTTCAGAGGGGAGTTTGAGCACAGCTGCGACAGTCAGCTCTGGTGTCTGTGTGTCCAGGGCCTCTGGTAGACAATGTGGTCAGCCCATAGAAAACCATGAATGCCGCCTTTCTTGTTCTCCTTCAGCTGTGCTGCAGTGGTGAGAGCTTGGGAGCCTAAAGTTTACACTAATTGCTTCGTCATGGTAGTGTGAGAATTAATGTGAGCATAGACATTCTTGCCCCAGCTCAGGATCCAAGAGTTCAGCAGAACTTATAGCAAGACCTTCCACAAAGCAGAGCTGGGACAGGATTGAGGGTGGGTTGGGGACTGAATGAGAGAGAGGGTCCATCTGACAATCAATGTGTTACCTAAGGCTTAGAAAATTTCCCTTTATAGCCCAGAGAAACTTCTAGAAATTAAAAGTCTGGGATTAAATGATGGTGAGCTACAAAAGGTGGCTGGAACCCATCCATAGGCAGTTTAGGACCGGTGGCCTTTTAAGATGCTGGCAGGTAGCAGTCAGTGAGCAGGCAGACTACAGCCCTGACCTGTGTTCCAGAAACTCCCACAGGGCTCCAGGAAGCAGACAGGAAAAAACCAAGCAGGCCTGGATGTGCAGGGACAGAACATCAGACAGGGTGGACTCAGCAGTGGGAACTGGGCCAGAGCTCAGATATAAGGGTCAGACATGCGGCCTGGGGGCAGCATTGAAGCAAGGGAGGGAGCCCACTGTGAGGACCAGGGCACAGGATCAGGCTTGTGGCCCAGCCCCGTGACCATTCTGGCCCCAGAGCATCATCCTCGGGCAAGAACAGGACTTCATACCTCCTGACTCTGATGAAAGCTGAGTGCCACAACCAGGATCTGGGTAGAGTTTTCCAGAAAGACCAAGTGATCCCACCTCTGGGGGCCTATTATCAGGCTCTCTAGCAAAAGAAAGGGGCTCACTTAAGCCCCTGGAGGACAGTCCTACCAGGATTTGTATGACATTGTAAGTCTTTGGGCTTGCTCACTTCCTACTAGATGGAGGGGACACAGGTGGGACAGGGACTTTTGTCCCCTGTGGGAATCAGACAATAAGGTGCAGGTCTGAAGTCTGCCCTGTGGGACCTCTGGGCTCATCCCTCAGGACCTCAGCTCAGGATGGTCCTCCATTTTTAATAGCATACTTTACTTTTAATATGAAGCAGTTATCATGAAAAGACATGCTTCAGCCAGCCTTCTAACTAGGGACGAAGCTTGGCCTCAGAGTCATTCCTCTGCAGTGCTGGCCTCTGGTCTAGAGAATGGGCTCATTTTTTCACTGGGATGGCACGGGAGCACTTTTCACATCCTCATGTGGAAATGCCACCAGTGGTCATTCAAGGAAGGCCTTCTCCTTCATGGCTCTGTGGCTTCATGGCTACATTTATAAAGGCTACACTGAGGCCTCGCAGGGCAGCCAGAGGGTTAGCTGGGGTTAGTGGGGAGAAGCAAGAAGCTCTGTGCCCAGTCTAATGGCTCGTCCAAAGCTCCTGGGTTCCTTCCACTTCAGTGGCCTGTGACTGTCCTATCCATGGTTAGTGACCTGGTGACGTCCCTAACAGGGACCCGTGTGCTTGTGTAACAACACAGACCAGTGCCAGCTTTGGGTTCCAGGCTGAAAACCCTGAAACTATACACGGAAGACCCTTAAACCGCCTGCCAAGAGCAGCTGCTGTCTCTGTCTTCCAGCTCCCCCTCCAGGAGGGGTGGTTTCTGCTGAACCCCTGGATCTGGCTCCCCTTTCTCCTGAGTTACTTGTTTCCTAAAAAGACAGCACCTCCCCTGTGAGCACCTGCTGTGCCGAGGGGCAGAGTGCTGGCAAGCTGGCAGGTCACCTTTCCACTGTGGCCTCAGTTTCCTCATCTGTAGAATGAAGATGTTGGACTACACACATTTTAACATCCCTTTCAGCAAGGGGCTCTTAACTGTTTGTGCCACAGACCCTTGCCAAAGCCATGTCACACACGGGCTGCCAGGGCAGGCAGCTGAGCTGAAGGGCAGCTCTGGTGCTGTGGGTGGCAGGCTGGGGGCAGCTCAGTTAGTCCACATGGGATCATGAGTTCATGGACCTGCAGTGGCTGGGGAGTGAGACGCAGTGCGTGGAAACCCCACATAACTAGCTGTGGTGACCCTGGGGAAGTTCCTCAGTGTTGTTGAGCCTCACTTTCCTCAGCTATCACCCCATCTCAGAGTGGAGGATTGTCAGAGACACCGGGTGTAAAGCCCCCACGCACAGCCGTCCATCAAGGACACCTTCCTCTCATTTCATAGTAAGAAAATTTAAGTGTCTTGCTAACTTGGTGGTTAGAAACAGAAGCAGGCTTGGGGCCCACGTTTTCTCAGATTTCGCTCCAGGGCTGCCCTCCTCCTACCCCGAGGAGGGGGTCTGGGCTTCCCCAATCGTCCTCCGGGAGGAAAGCGGCTCTCAGGCCGCCAGCCCGGCCCTCTCCTTACGATCTGCAGCGCCACCTAGTGGGGACCGGCCGTTTCTTCCTCTGCCCTGTGCGCTGTCTCCAATTTCTTCAATTACCAACATTGATAGAAGGTTCTTGTTTTACAAGACGTAGAAAGGCAATACTGGAAGATCATCACCGACAGCAGGAGTGGAAGAAAGTATTGACCTCCATCTTTGGTCAGAAATGGAGCCAAGTCAGGCCGATGTGAGGAGAATGGCACTCTTGACACCACCACGCCAGGCTCTGGTTCATAGGAAACTGAAATTCCTAATTACCAACCATGACTTAGTCACAACTTGGGATTGTTGAGCCCTTATTGTAAATGGCAATTCAAGTTTCACTGAGTTTGAGACATCTTGCAACAGATTAAGTAGCCTGCACTCCTAAAGCCTGTTCTCCTCCTGAGGGAGCAGCTGCCCCCTATCAAGAGAGCTGATGAGGGTCATGGAACCGGTGGCATTGCCCAAAATGGAGGAGGACATCCATGGTCTCAGTATTATCACCGGTGTCTATACATACTGTCCAGATCCTCTAGACTATCACTCGTCTTTAGGTATTTTACTTTTGTCATGCACAGCCCATAGTTATACCTCTTTTTTTCTGCGTGGAAGATATTCAGCCTGAACATCCAAGTTCATCTCGCAATCAGTGCCATTCACATTTCTAGTGCTCTTCCTCTTTGAACTCTTTAACTGTGGAAATGGAAATGATTTACTCTGGAAACACTGACTCTATTCTTGTGACCTCATCTGTAAACTGTTGAATGTTTTTCATACTGATGGGGTCAAAAGGTCCCAGAACTATATCACTATGAATTCTGCCTCCGTGCCCACTTTTCCCCATCATGACTTAGATGCTATCACTATCTCTCCTCTTTTGGTATCTTTTATATCTCTGCTTCACAAATAGTTTGCAAAGGTTCCCAGAGTACAGGGAGAAATGGGGAAGCGTTCACAGAGAGAATAGGGCTGTTCCAAAGGCCATGATACAGTTCACTGTATTTTCTTTAAAGAAAAATGCTGACCGTATCCCACCTCTATAAATTACTTCAATGCCACCAGAGCTTGTTTTCTAACGTGGAACTCTTGGTATCCTACTCCTTCCCTCAAAAAAGAAACTAATAGTAACAGTCTCCTTTGACTGACGGTGGTCACTGTTTCTCCAGTCTCACTTGCTTCCTTTTCCTTTTCCTCCCCATCTGCTTCAGCCCTACTTGACTATGTGCTCCATTCCCCTTCTTGCTTCTTCACCTTTCCCCCTGTTTTTCCTGAGCCTGGTGTGCTTTTTCCAACATTCCTCTACCTAGTGAAATTCTACCCAGCCCAGCTTGGATGATACCCACTCGAGTTGGAATTAATTACTTCGTTATTTTCTCTTCTACAACATGTTACCTGCACTTCAATCTAACATTGATTTCATCCTGTCTTATGTTAAAGCTAGATTTTTTTATATGTTTCCCCCTACGTTGCAAACTCCTTGAGGAACAGGACTATGGTATCTTTCTAGATCTTTCCCACTCCTATATCTGAGCACTCAAGAAATTTCTTTCTAATAATGCCAATTGGGATACGACTTTGGAGACTCAACATCTTTTACTGAGTCTCTAAGGCAGGGATTTTCAATTGGTATGCTACGGAAACATTTAAAGATCATTAATTAAATTATTTTCAAAAGAAGCTCAAAGCAACAGTAAGTCTATTCTTATTTTTTACTCTTCACTCCCCATCGACATCATTTAAGTGTGCCACAGAAGTTTAGCTATAGGTTCAAGTGTGCTGTGAGATAAGAAAGGTTGACAAATACTGTTCCAAGGGAGCTCAAGTGACAACAAGAGACCAGTGAAAAGCTTTGGGACATTGAGGGTAAGGGATCACTCGTCAGGTGTGGGCTGTGTTACTCACATGTAAATGGTGTCCGGTTCTAGGCATCGTATGATCAGAGAGATGGTGGTGAACTGCTTGTCTGGCACCTGCGATGGCATGGCACAAGGAGACTTTGCTCCAGAGATGATGTCATCCACAAAGCTCAGCACCGTTTCTGCCCAGAGGGGAAGGAATGGAATAGGTGTGAGAAACAGCAATGACCGAGCAATGAGGAGATGGAATCAACTTGATAGGACTTAATATTAAAATCGCTCAGTCCCCAATCTTCTCCAATTCCTGGTAGAAAAAGAAAAACTAGAAGAAATGATCTTTTCTGGCTGTTACATATTTAACCCATCAGTTTAGAGCCTTTTGTCTAGAGTTAGCTCAGAAACAACTAAGGCAAGACGCACTTTCAGCTCTTTCATAAAATGTTTCTGGCATGGACAGAGAATAGCTCTGCTGGTCCGCGGTCACTGCCAAATGTTAGTGATACCTGTGCACACAGGGAAAGGGCCCCTGAAGGCGTAGGCAGCTCTCTAGGCCTGAAGGCAGCTGGACATGTCCTCAAGCCTCAGTGATAGGTTCACCAGGAGCCATTTACCCTGAATTAGACTGTGGATGCCACCACGCTGCTGCTGACCACAACTCATGCGTAAACTTCAGGGATTATCCATGTTGACATTTCCTAAGTGTAGACAGTGAACTACTAAAGCATGGAATGTTTTTCTTGGGGTGTTTCCACTACTTTAAGGTTTCCTTCTTTTAGCTGGACCGACAAAAGCAGAGTTTGCTTTAGGACAAGACATGGGCAAGGCATCTGTTTGCACAGGCTTTTGCCTGGAGGGGGGTTATTAGCAAAGGAATTTTTTTTTCTTTTTCTGTAATCATGGCAGTGGTTAGCGGAGGATTGTTTCCTAATTGTGGGCTAGGATAACTAGTGTACTGTATTGTTGTTTCTTTGTGAGTGGGCCTGGAGGCAATGAAATGGACACCTCTTTTATAAACCAGAAGAAAAGCAAAATCAAAACAAGACTTTGTCGGCTGCTCACCACGCAAAAATTCTTAAATGGACAAGATGGCTGCTGCTTGGAAGGAACAAGGGCTTCTCTTTCTCCCTCCTTCTGCTGCATTCCCCAATGATACTGAGGACCTGGAGCCCAGCTGCAAGGCAGGGCCTTTTTCTTTTATTTTTTACCACCTTGGACCAAGGTTAGCCCATGAAGTAGAGGACGCTCACCTGTCTCCACTTTAGAGTGGTCCATTCTGTCAGTGACTTTCTCTTGACGGAGGAGGTAATCTACAATCTGTACCCCAATCGGTGGCTCTGAGTGCTCCCATTCGAGGACCACGAGGGTACTGCTGGGTTCGTGAACTGTGGAGAGTCTCAGGCTATGTGCAGACAGAAAGGAACATGAACTGAGGGCCCAACGGCAGCCACTGGGCACTTCTCAAGTGTTACAGTGGAAACTCTTCTTTTTCAATCAACTACAAAAATGACCTCTTTGAGGGCCTGTCTCATCCACTAGATCAGCGGTTCTCTACCTGTGGGTCGATCCACAGAAACTGTATTAAAGGACTGCAGCATTAGGAAGGTTGAGAACCACTGTACTAGATAGTAAGGTTCTGGATGATCTTTGAGATCTATGTTTTATGCATCAAGTGCCTGTTACGCATTAGAAACTCAGCTGCTGTTTGTAAATAAATAAGTAGGGAAGGCAAAGATGATTGAATGCGTGTTGCATGGGTCAGAGGAGGGTTTGGGGGGTACTACTACTTGGTATAGCTTGAAACTATTATAATTCAGGATTTCCTCTTGGAAAACATTAAGAGCACGTCTACATAAAGCACATGTAAAGACCTTACTGACAGCAGCATTTAGGAGAACCTCGCACTAATAAGGCCACAGTTCATTTAGCTTCAGTACTGTTGTCAAGATCTGCCCTGCTGGTGGGGGAAAGCCCTGGCTTCCCCTCTTGTCATGGGTGCTAATGTACCTTTCCCTGGCCGCCTGTTGGCTGGGCCGTGATCAGCCTGTGTGGAAGCAGTGCTCTAGCAGGAGTTCCCTGGGCAAGAAAAAGCTGACCACAATTCCCCTTAGGGGGTGATGTCTGTATCTGCCCGCACAGGTTCTGTCTTTGGTCTCGGGCATCTATAAATTCTGGCCTTTGCTTGCTTTTCCCACTTCACAGTCTCTTCATGCTTTGCAAGTTGTCCATTTTGACCACTGTCTTGCCTTGCTGTCTCATACCTCTCTGTACCTTGTATAAACTTAATAATCATTGTTGACATTTGCTGGTCTGGATCTCCTAACTGTCCAAGTGGTTTCAATTCACTGCCTTGTTCTGACTTCTTGTATGTGTCTCAGGTTTCCCTCTTGCTTCCAATTTGCTGTTTCTTCCTAGACCACTGGGTTCTTGGAATGTTCTCAGTTTCTACTCACTCCAGCCTCCCTCCCTGACAAGTACCCTGCCATTCACCTCATGCTTTGTTCCCTTATCTCATGACCACCCCTAATCCTGGCCCTCCTTCCCGCCCCTAGCCTCCCAGGTGCCTAGAACCACTGATTTCAAGAATCACTGGCCAAGACACTGTGAATGAACCATTCCAAACCGTTTTCGGATTATTTCGCAAACATCTGTGAATCACCCATCACTTACAAGGATGAGCTTGCGGCTGGGGATGCCGTGGTGCACAAGCCCACCCCAGCCCCTGCTCTTATGGAGCTTAGTGGGCACTAGAAATATGCAATTATACATGTGACTTAGAAAATGTGATAAGAACTTCAACGAGACTTCATAGGAGGCTGTGGGAGCAGCAGGAAGGAATTCTACTGGGGAAAATAATACAAACCACATGGCCTTCTGCATATGGCTTACTACGAAGGAGCGCATAGTCTACACATGACATTAAGGATGGACTAGACCCAAAACAGTGCGGATATTGACAAACTCATTAATTAGAGTCATATGCAGAGTCCTATTTTGAAGAAAAAAGCATTAGGAGGCTTCAGTAAGTAAGACTTAAGATTTTCTGAGAACTCAATTTCTGTGAAAATATGGACCAAACCCAGCCTCTTCTGAGAAACAGAACTGTATATGATTACATGGATTTGTGTAAAACCAGAGTGCCTTTCTATTTCCAGCTGAAACTAAGGTCTGCTACTGAAGGATGAGATCAGAGTTGACAAGAAAAGTCAAGTCTTTAATGGACATTTCCTGTTTATGAAAATTTAGCCCAGTTTGATCCTTTGGTATGAGGTTTAGTAAATGTAGGTTTATTTTAAACAAGCCCTAGGACCTGATGACTGGATCTGTGTCCACCTGACGACTGTTTGGTAGCTCCAGTGCTGGGCCTGGTGAATCAGTCTAACAGCCCCAGGTTATCTTAGTGGCTTCTTTTTCGATAAATGTGAGGACTTTTATTAACAGTAACTGCTTCTCTTTTTACTCAAGAGCTCCAAGTCATGATTAGAAAGTGGAAGAAGCCAACGGCTGGTGCATCTAAAACCTCCTACCCAGAGAAGAAGACAGCAGAGGAGAGAAGACAGTGGCTTGTAACAACTGGCCGCCATTGCATCCCCCTCTTCCCCGGCTTTCCTCTGGCTCCATCCTTTACTGCCCGCCACTCAGGCCAGAGGGCAGCCTCTCGGTGGCTGCTTTCTTCCTGCAGCCACTGCTCCTGCTTACTCAGCCTCCAGTGACATGGTGCCTGTTCCTTGCTCTGGGCTTCTTTTGCCTTATCAGCAAGGGGCTCCTGCTCTACCAGCTCATCCTCCCGGCAGGCCTGGCACTTCTGTGGCTTCACTTCTGAAGCAGATGCCACGTCAGAGGCTGAGAAGGGGCCCGGCTTCAGGCCCTGGCCCTCTGCTTGCCCAGTTCTGTTTAGCCTTTCACTGAGGGGAGGAGACTGGGCATGTTTATTCTCAGGCACCTTGCAGCACTTCACCCTCTTCACCCTTCAAATGCAGACACCCCCTGATGGTCATCTCCAGCCCTCCGCTCCTCCCACCTGATACTGCGGTTCTGCAGAAATGTTCGGGACGTCCCTTCTCCTAGCTGTGGCTGCACCTGTCATTTCTTTGGTGCTGACTGAAATTGTCTTATCACTAGTGTTTACTTTTTTGCAGAGGTCCAGACTACCTTTCTGTCTGCACATCGAATATTTCTGCAGCACTGCACCGCTATAACTCCAAGCAAGCCCAAACGGACCTGGCCTCTTCAGCAAAACTGCGTGTGCTCCCATGCTTTTTCTACCCTCAATTGTGTCTCTTTCATCTTTCCAGCCAACAAGGGAATACGTCTTATGTTCACTCACCACGGCTCCTTCCTCCTCACCCCGACTGTCAGTCAGCCACCGAGTCCTACTGGTTCTACCCCAAATCACTTCTCACTTTTCTTCCCTCTATACAGCAATGGCTAACAATATGCCTCTTAGCCCTGGTTCTGCTTGCTGTGGTATCACCTTGGAAAAAATCTCTAATCCATTCCGAACCTTTTCCTTCTCTATTAAATGAACAGTATCTAACTGCTCAACACTGCCCGGCACCCAGAATTTGAGAAGTGCTTGGGTTGTTGGTCTAGATCTATAAGGTCTCGTTAGAGACCTCTCACTTCTTCCATTGCAGCTGCTCTCTTACCCGGATTATCTTCTCGCTATGCTGTCCTACTTCCTGCCACCTCCTCATGAAGCCTTCATCGTTTCCCAGATTCAGATTTGGCCACTCCCTCCTCATACTTTCTTCAACTGTTGCTTGTTACATTAATCACAGCTTCTATACTAACCCCAATCTGTATACCTGCCTCTCTGGTGGCTGCAAGCTCCCTGAACGCAGGCCCTTTGTCATATTCCTCTTTCTGTTCCCTGGTACCCTGTCTACTGATCTATAAATAGCAGACACTCAGTATGTGCTTGCAGGGTGGTGCTGGTGCTGACGTCTGCGCCAGGGAGAGGAGGGAAAGGAGAAGCGTACACGGGCTGCGGGAGAGGCGCGCAGGTGGGGAGTCCATCGGCTCCAAAGGCGGTGGAGTCACACCGACACCAGTCCTCGATGACATCTCCTGTCCCTGAGCACCAGAGAGAGCTCATGGTGGCCTCCTGCAAGAGCTGCACGAGAGAGCACGGGAAAGGGTGAGTGCAAGGAAGCCAGGGCTAGGCCATGAGAAGCAAGAGGCAGAGCTCCAAGGATCTGCACAGCCCTAAATGACTTCCACGTCCCCACTTCACCATTTTGGTGTCTAAAACTCTTAAGTCCAGGACATTGCTTCTGGGAAGCTGGAGCCTTGTAGGTCATGGGTTCCCCAAGTTCCCCGATTCCATTGAGTTCCCAGTACTTTCCAAGGGGCATGCAACGTCCACTATCACTGTATCCATTTCTAGATAGAAAGAACTATTTCCGACAAAATGACATCAGGAGTGTCCTCTCCCTTTGGCATAATAGCTTGTTTCTGTGGTTAAGGGCTGTCACCTGGGAAGCAAGTCACATTCCAGCCACAATCTCCCTCACTTTCCACTCCATCATTCTATACCTCAGGCTCTAGGAATGATGACTTCTCTACCTCTTGTCTTCTAGTGGTCACTCTTCCCTCTTCCCAGAGGCACCTAGCACTAGGCTGTTTATAGTACCTCAATTTACAATTAAACAACCTAAATGCCCACCAATCCAGGAATGGATTAACAAGCTGTGGTAATGTATACCATGGAATACTTACTATTCAGCCACTAAAAAAGATGGTGACGTTACACCTTTTGTATTAACCTGGATGGAGGTGGAACACATTCTTCTTAGTAAAGCATCACAAGAATGGAGAAGCGAGAATCCAATGTCCTCAATTCTGATATGAGGACAATTGATGCTAGTACATGGTGGGGGGGTGATGGAATGGGGGAGTGGAGAGAGGAAGGGGGGTTACGGTGTGTGACACGCCTCTTGGGACACAATTGTAAGAGGGACTTTACCTAACTAATGCAAGCAGCGTAACCTAGTTCTTTGTACCCCTAATGATTCCCTAACAACAAAAAAAGGAAACAAACAAAAAACAAATACCTCTCTCTGTACTGTCACCTGCCCTCCCCATCCCATCCGTCCTAGTAATCCCTTTGCATTCTCTCAGCAAATCTTGTATCATACTTATGGTATTTATGCAATTCCACCTTGAGTTGTGACCAGGCACTAGACATTTCTTCCTTAGTAGATCATGAACAGGAGAAGTGATGTGGCACACAGTCTAGCAACTGTGCCCTGCACAGTACCCCTGGGTGAGAGTTCCAACTTTGCCCGTGATTGTCCCATGGCCTTGAGTAAATTACATGAACTCAGTTTTCTCAATGACAAAATGAGATAAAAATAGCACTTTCCTAACACAGTTTCTATAACAATTAAATGGAATAATGTATGCCAAATAAAATAATATATGCATAGTACCGGCATACATTAGTCACCTATAAATGTTAGCAATTATTATTGTCTTTGAATAATGGAGTTGACTCTTCTGTAGAGCTTTGTATCTATCACGGAGCCTAGAAGAATTCTTTATATTCAGTGGTTTCATAGACATATTTACTATTAAATAAAAAGGACAAAATGACAAAATTAGGACAGTGAGGTAATAGAATTTGTGACAGGGCAATTCCCTGGTGAGTTGGTGGATTCTGATGGTGTACTGACTCCTCGGTGTGGCCCGGCTACATTGACCCCAGCCCAGGGGAGGGGAGAGGGTGGGATCTGCCACAGGGAGCCTGGCTGGTTCAAGATACCTAAGGTCAGAGCCTCTTCTCTGGGTCAGTGCAACCTCTGAAGTGTCAACTGTTCCTTCTGATTCCTCGCTCCCTGCTTCTCTCTCAGCACACCCATACCCAACTCGTAAATCAGAGAAAGGAAACTTAGCTACTGGAAAAGTTTAGACTAAAACATTAAAAAAGAGGAGGGGGATATTAAGAATGTTGAAAAAATAAGGAAAAGAAAAAGGAAGGGAAGTGCGGTGCCTGTGGCTCAGTGGGTAGGGCGCTGGCCCCATATACAGAGGGTGGCAGGTTTGAACCTGGCCTTGGCCAAATTGTAAAAAAAAAAAAAAATAGCCGGGCATTGTGGTGGGCACCTCTAGTCCCAGCTACTCGGGAGGCTGAGGCAGGAGAATTGCCTAAGCCCAGGAGTGGGAGGTTGCTGTGAGCTGTGACACCACAGACTCTACTGAGGGTGATAAAGGGAGACTCTGTCCCTTAAAAAAAAAAAAGAAAGAAAGAAAGAAAGAAATAGAAAAAGGAAGGGAAAAAAGATAGCTCTCCAAAAATCAAAATTATTACACCTAAAGCCAGTATCTATGTTCCATTCTTTCAGAATGTAAGTGACACAGGCCATCTTAAGTTAGAGTAGTTGGAACAACTGACCCCCAACCCAGACTGTAGCCCCTAGGGAATGGGAGGCAATTTTTGATTATAACTATAACTTGTGCAGAGTTTTATAATTTGTAAGGCCCTGTTGGCTGCTAACACTTTGACAGTTACCAACATTTACAGTGGAAGAAGCTAGGAGTCGAATAGGTGAGGGGACTTGTTCAAGGCCACAGGCTAGTGAGTGGGGTAGTGCCTGGATGAAATTCAGCATGACTCTAGATACCTCTGGCTCTTTCCATCAAGCATTCTCAATGAACACTGTATCCTCCAGCTTCCAGCTTTAAGCCTGCTGCATAGCAGGACTTATGGTATTCTCTGGTTGAAGAAACCCTATTACAATCAAAAGGTGCATTGTTTAAATGCCATGAAACTTCCTTTGAGATAGGCAGAATAGATAGAAAAGAAATTGTGACTGCTGCCTCAGAGAGTCCTCAATCAACAATTAAGCATCCACAGGGGCCATTTGCTGAGTTAAACATTAAGGACACAGTGATGCACAAGACACATATGGCCCTCGTATGCACAAATCTAACAAAAAGTAAAAGTTGCATAAAATAGTCACACTCATGATAAAGGCTTTAAAGGAAAAGGGTGAGATGTTGTAGGTGCACGTGGTGGCAGAGGGATGAGGAAGGAGGCAGTCTCTAGAGGGCTTTGCAAGGGCCTCCATGAGGGTGTGACTTTTGATCTGAGCTTTGGGGAATACATCAAAAGTTAATTTGGTTAGTTTGCAACCCATGAGTGGATTAACAACTGTGGTATACATATACCATGGAGTACTATTCAGACTAAGAAAAAATGAAGACTTTACTATTTACCTGGATGGAGGTGAAACACATTCTTCTTAGTAAAGTATCTCAAGAATGGGGAAAAAAAATCCAATGTACTCAATACTACTATGAAATCAATATATAAACAATTATACGTCCACATGAATGATAAAACACAAATACAGTCTATCAACGGGGAGAAGAGAGGAGAGAGAGGGCGGGCGACTGGTGGGATCTCACCTAACCTGCACAATGTGAGGGTGTTCAACATGGCCCTCTGGGTGAAAGGCTCTACTACAACTTGAACTTTACCTTGGATGTGAGGACAATATAACCTAAAAATCTGTACCCTCATATTAATTTGAAATTTAAAAACAAAAGTTATTTGGCTCCAAAAGTTGGAGTAGTGTTTCAGGTAAAAACAAACAAACACACACAAATTATGATGACGACCAGCCTGGATGAAACTTGACTTCTAAAATAAACTGGAAAATGTTAGCCTGTGAGAGACAGAGTGGAGGGCAAAGAGATAGTGAGGGAGGGGCAGCAGGACTGGGACATTGGGCCTTGGGGTCACGGCAAGGCAGCGTCACATTTCAAGAGCAATGCTAAGTCATTAAAATATTTTCAACAGGGGAGGAACATGATCAGATATTCAATCAAAGGGAATAAGGACCAACACCTATGAGGACAAACATTTTAAACCCCATTTCTTATAAGCTTTAATTTTCCACGTTTGATTCACTCCACAAGAGTTCCTGCTCTCTGAATCCTGGGCTACACGTAACTGCAAATACTTAGATGAGCGTAGAAGATTAAGAAGGAACCAATTTGGAAAGAAAGAGAAAGAGAAATTGCATTTTTTTTTTCCAGTACGTATGATGTGCCAGGCATTGCATGAGGAATTCACATTTGTTAGCAGATTTAATCCTGATTCCAGACAAGAAATAAAATTGTCCAACTTTTGTTATTGTTTTCCTCTAAGGAGAGTGGCTGAACTTTTAGGCCAAATCCATCCATTTATTTGTCCATTCTTTTCATCCATCCATTCATTTTCTTTAGTGGGGAACCAACCACGGCTCGGCCCTAGGTTATCATAGAGGAAAAAGCATTTCTCCCAGTCCAGAGGGGAGTAAACAACTGTGACAACAGGTGATGGATGTGAGCTGTAAAAAGGGTGTGTACACACACAATGGGAATTACATGAAGGAATACCGGCATTGGCGCACAGGAGGGGAGGGTTCTGGACAGCTGGTGGTATTTGGGCAGAAAGTTGAAGTACTAGGAGGAATTTGCCAAAGGCAGAAATGTGGGAGAGGACCTTCTCGGGACTGTGAGTTTGAAGTGTGAAGGGCCAGATGGAGGAGAGACAATGTGTTGTGTTGGAAGAGGTCCAAGGAGCTAAATTTTGGAGTATAAGGTGTAGAGTGGTAACTATCTAACTATGTAAGTGAGGACAAAATTGAATCACACACTGCCTCATAATGCTTGCTAAGGATTTTAGACGGTATTCAAGAGATTCTACAGAGCCATTAAATTACTTTGATGGAAAGTGATCAGAAGTTCATATTAGATAGACGGTTCTGGGTGGGAGAGCCCTAAGAAGGGCTCTGTGTAAGACGGCACCCAGAAGTCACAACGGATGCCTGAAATATCAGGCCGTGACCCAGGTATCATAAAAAGAAGATGCATTCAACAGATATCTGTAGGTCTTGACAGTGGAAGCGATGTTGGGAATGGTAAGGATATTCTAGGAGGCATCGCTGGTCTCCAGCGAGGGCAACTTGGTGGAAGATGGTGCCACTCAACGGGGTGGGAGCACAACAGGGATGGGTTTGGGGTGGAAAACCATGAGTGCAAGATTGTGGGGTTTGAGAGACCCGCTTGCTTATAGGGTCCGACCTATTTGTTTCTTTACCATAATCACAGATCACATTAGACTGAAATAGAGCCTCAAAACTTATCAGAAGAGGACAAGTGAGGCCAGGAAAGGGGCCCAAAGATATGCCAGGGAGGAAGAGGTAAAAACACACGCTGAGTGCTGATGTCATGACTTAGCCCCTTTCTCCTCTTGCTTAGCTTCGTCACTCCCGCCTTCACTCTTCAGAAAGGGCAAACTTAGAAAATCAGAGGAAGGAACGTGTGACGGTGACGGAACTCTAGCCAGGGGCTCCTTGTCTATGCATTCAGAAACTAACGCGTTTAAAATATGGCTGGATGGAAAACATCCCCCCCCCCCTCCGCTCTTGAGACTGTCTGTGCAGGGAGAAAGGGAAGGGCTGAGGTGTGGCGATGCCTCAGCAAATGCCGACTGCATCCCCCTTGCACTGGGCCTCCTCCCCTCCGCAGCTCCACACATCTGCTCAGAAGCTCTGCACATCCCGCTCTGCAGGACGGTTGGGCACGTGCTTTCTGACTCCACTGCTCCCAGGCAAGCAGCCCAGAAGCTCTTGGGGTGTCAGCCATGGCAGCCTGGGGTGCTAGTGGGAGACCACATGGGGCAGGTAAGGGTGGGCAAGGTGCTGGGTTGAAGCCACTGAGGCTCTGAGTCTCTGAAGTGACCCACCCTCCTTCATCCTTTCCAGCCCCCTCTTCTCCATGGTGTCTCTTTTCCACACCTCTTCCCTCGTCCACCTCTCTCAGACTGGAGAGACATTTGTAGGCCACGAAACAATTCATCTTTGTGTTCCTGCGAAAAACCTTATTTTCAAACATTCCATGAAATATCTGTGGCAGAGGCGGGCTGGCAAGAAACACATGCACATACAAAAATCCCTCCTGTCGGCTGAGCATTACCTATGAAACAAACTGTGACACACCAGGTGTTCCTTACAGGGGAAAAAAGAAAGCAATTATCACCCCACCTGGACCGGCACACCTCTCAGGCAGGTGAGCCGCTCACGGCTGCGACTCTGGCTACATTCTGTCCCCAAGGCTGCCTTTGCTCACAGTCTCAGAAGTCCCACACCTGGAGTGCCCTTGTTTTTCCTTGGTTGTTGTTGATGCTGTTGTGTGTTTTGACGCGCTCTGATCGCTCTGTCCTTGAGCAGGTTGGAGAGGCAGGAAATGAGCTGAGACGTGGGCTCTGCCACATTTCTGCAGCTCCTCCTTCTGGGCCCATTCATTTTCCCCGGCATCTTTGCAAAGGGAGTGGCAGAGGCAAAGGAAGACTGGCTAGCACGTGTCATGACCTTGCGGCATACAAAAGATCTGTGTGGCAGGGAGTGGTGGCTCACGCCTGCAATCCTAGCACGCCGAGAGGCCTAGGCAGGTGGATTGCTTGAGCTCAGGAGTTCAAGACCACACTGAGCAAGTCTCTCTACTAAAAATAGAAAAACTAGCTGGGTGTTG